CCACATTCAACAAGAGACTAGTTGTCACATCAACTCGTGATAAGATACAAGAGGGTGATGATGAAGAACATCAATTACGACAAACTAACCATCAAGATATATTCCAGGATCAGAAGCTCTTCATCTAGAACTAAGTAAATAGATTTTATCATGTTTTTGTAATCATTGTACTGTCAACTACTTTTAAATATAGGTTGAATTTAATTTCAAAAATTTTATGTTCGAAAGTTATTACTTCCAATGTTGAAGTTTAGTCAAAATTAAGTTATCTTTAATATTTTGATTATTTAAATATTACCCGGCAAAATTAATTTCTCATTTTCCTTCAATTAATTATTTTTTTATTTTTTTAATGACTTACTAGTAGATTTGGTTGTGGTCAAGGTGAAGATGTTATGACAATGCAAGAAGGACACGATGAACTCACTGAGCTTTTCAATAAGTGGATCAATTACTCTATATTGATTATAGTGAGTTCTACAAACGACCAAAACACACTTCCCAAAGATCTACTTCAGATATCCCAAGGCGGTCACCCGAAAACTTCTCAAGAGGATTGACTGTAGATACTTTAAGAAGATCTTTTGCCTGTGTTGGGCCCTCAACATATGTGGAACCTCAACATATGCAGGACCCTCAACATATGCAGGACCTTCAACATCATATGAGGGTTCTTCATATGCTCCACACTGATCAACTTTAAAGGGTGGACGCTAAGATCTGCAATTTCATTTGGGTCCCAACTCCAGCAAACCACCGTTCCACATTCAACAAGAGACTAGTTGTCACATCAACTGGTGATAAGATACAAGAGGGTGATGATGAAGAACACCAATTACGACAAACTAACCATCAAAATATATTCCAGGATCAGCTCTTCATCTAGAACTAAGTAAATAGATTTTATCATGTTTTTGTAATCAGTGTAGTATCAACTACTTTTAAATATAGGTTGAATTTAATTTCAAAAATTTTATGTTCGAAAGTTATTACTTCCAATGTTGAAGTTTAGTCAAAATTAAGTTATTTTTAATATTTTGATTATTTAAATATTACCCGACAAAATTAATTTCTTATTTTCCTTCAATTAATTTTTTTTTAAATTTTTTTACCAATTCATTAAATAAAGTATTTAAATCAATATTATTAATTTATATCATTTTATAACTATATTTTATAAATTCGAAATCTATTTATTATATTCAATGAAATACATTAACATTTTAAATTCAGATATTCATTTTTTTCAAAAATTCTTATTTAAGAAAAAATAACATTTCACTATTAAATTCTTTTAAATTTTAAGATTATAAATATTATTATAATCTTTTACTAAATTCTTTTCTTAAAATTTAATTTTTATAATCTAGAAACATTTTAATATTTAATTTTTATAATTGGAATGCATGGGGGTGAGGGGGGAAACACAAAAATATTTTGCCTTTAACCTTGCATTTCACATTAAACTTGCGTTACACGTTAAATGCAACAAATGTTTCTGTTTCACTAGATACACAAATGCCCCTTGCGATTTTGCTACTCCCGCCTAATTCCCATCCACCTGCTCCTAATACTAATATTACATAACCTTAAGCCTCTTTTAAAAATTTGGCATATAAGAATGGTCGAAGGCTATTAGACGAGCCACAGTCATCTTTAATGTGCTAAATATTCGAGTACCATACCCTACACACATAGGATTCGAACCTATGACCTGAGGGGACTTACGACCTTTAGAGTGACTGCTCTATCAACAGGTAATGGTAGACGCACTTTTAAGTATTTGAGATATATATATATATATATATATTATGGAATTTTAGGCACATGACGCGGACTCTCATCATGGGACCAAAAAGCGCATGAAAAATCGATATTTGGGGACCAAAAAGCGCATGAAAAATTGATATTTGGGGACCAAAAAGCGCATGAGAAATCGATATTTGGGGACCAAAAAGCGCATGAAAAATTGATATTTGGGGACCAAAAAGCGCATGAGAAATCGATTTTGGGCCTAATATATTTCCTTTATATATATATATA